AACCCAGTGCTCTGATAATAGCATCTCTCCCAGTAACCCTGATGAGAGCTGGTGAGAAAGCGCTGACCCCTTCGTGAACCTCACAGGCTCCATATGCCAAGGCCTGAATTGCCACCCCGATGCCAGTGAGGTCAAAGAGACGGGGGAAGACGTTGTGCAAAGCATCCTCGGGAAAATACAGCGGCTTTCACCTCCTTCCTTCCTTCCTCCCGCTGGAGGTGCTTATGATCAGGGCAGGGCTTCCGTGTGAGGGTCAAGGCCCACCTAAATCTGTGCTCTTGCTTGATGTGTTCACGTTAAAATTGATAGCTGAGGATTTCTATCCTCTCCTGTGTCTCCTGCAGCTCGCAGCTCTGAGCTGCACGGTGCTTTTCCAGCCCCCTCTTCCCTGATAGCCTGTTCCTCTCGCTAAAATCATTTAAGATAGACTTTGCTTCTTGATGTGTTACCTCATGCATACAGAAAAGCACATGCACTCAGTAAAAATGCTCCGTGTTAGTCTTCTGTTCACTCCTTTCCTACTTTCTGTGCTGTAAAGAGATTAGGTGTCTTAGCACAGAGCCTTACAGGGTTATGTTAATTAGAATAGCCAGTAGCCTGGAGTAATGCTAAGTAGGTAGGGTTTTGTGGGTTAATGTACTAATTTATAGCAGGCTAGAAAGGCTCTGCCACAAGGGCCCAGTCCTGCATTGTGTTTTTGTTGTATTTGCTTGTTAGGGTTTTTTTTTTTTGTGCATAAGACACGCTGTCATCTTGAGCAGGTCACACTTCATGCGGATAAGCATTTTGATCATGTGTACAATTGTAAGTGTGCATTTTGAAGTACGAGTTCACAAGTCAATTACCAAAACCTCTTGATTTAAAACACACTGTAGGCAGGACAGTGGGCTGAAAACATGATTTTACAATCCTGGGAAAGAAGTCTTTGCTCGGGAGTGGATTACAGTTAAGGAAAATAGTTGTATTCCTTATTGCTCTTTGCTCTGTAGGTGATGTATCTTGTAACCTGTGTCTGTCTCTTGCTTTTGTGCTGCAAAGGGAGCACCTTCTTAGCTTATTTTGTACACCCTCAAGTTAGACCTTGATGTTCCTTTTACTCTGTACCCCTGGTCCAATATGTCATTGCTCCATGTTATGAAACTTGTGTTAAATGTGGAGTTTGCAAAAAAGGGAAACATACTGACATACCTTTGTCTTTTCTTTTTCAGGATAATATAGTTTTGAACAGTGCCTCCCCAAGAAGTGTGATGAGAAATGGCTTTAGGAAACAATACCCAGAGAAGTTACTCCATCATCCCCTGCTTCATCTTTGTTGAGGTGAGTGCAGCATTCAGTTGCCAAACCTACATAGAAAGCAGCTCTGCCCTGCAGGAAATAAGTCATTTGTTGGCCATTTTGCTTGTAAGGAAGAATGCTTTCTTACTTGATAACTTGAATATCCATCGTCATACTCAGTGCCACCCAGTCCCCCTGAAAAGAGTCCTGCATAAGTTAGCCCAATCCAAGGTAGCAGCAGTCAAGAACAAGTAGGTGCTGCGTTTTCAAGACTTGCCCGTACCCGCTTTGCCAGCTAGTCCTGCGGTATTTGGTAGAGAACGGGAGTAGCTGCAGGGGCAGGTCGGCAGCAGGGTGGTTGCTCGTCTTCCCATTTTTCTCAGGCCTGTATCCATCTTGCTGCTGCACAAGGACTAGACCTTGTTTAAGGAAATGTCTGATCTCACAGTCTAATGGTTCATAGGCTCAGGAAGCAACACTCAGCTCTGATTTCAGTTCGGGTGGAACATAAAATTTAGATGAGCACACTTTTAAGTGTGATGGAGGAGCTTGGCTCGCACAAGGACTGTGACCTGACTAGCAGTGAAGTTACAGGAGTGCTTGTTCCCACAATGGAGTATCGCTCCACATCTTTGTTAAGGGTAGGGTTTTTTTTAAGTTGCTTATTACTTTGCTCTGTACGAACCGCTTTTTTGTGGTGCATCTTTTGCTTACCCTAACACGGCCAGACTGACCAAAATCATTATCCGAATGGATGAATATTCAGCTGGTGCTTATAAGACTGGGATGATATTTTTGGCCAGGGGGGCAGCTCTGGGTTTCCAAGGAGGATGAAAGCTTCCATCAAATTTAGGTGGTGAAAAGGAGATAAGTGCCTGTGACTGACCACCTTCAGAGCCACCTGTCTGATGTACCTTGGACGCAATACTCTTCAGCCCAAATTATGGGGTGACTCATGCTCCTCCACAAGAGAAGCACTAAGAACGGTCAAAAGACTAATTGTAACGCTGGGTGTTGTGCAAGACTTACCCCATTTCCACTGAAATCCCGGAAAGGTTTGACCGTGCTGCGCCGCAGGTGTAATGGGCACAGTGAGTGGTTGGTTTCCAGAGCTCCTGAGCACTGACGTTTCCCCAGGGACATGGGAAAAGCATGCTGTGGCATCTGGGACCTCTCTAACCTTTACTCACCTGGAGTCCCCCCCCTCCTCGTGTCTTATCCAGACAGGACATGCAGTTCTCTTATGCGCTCTCTGCTCTCTGTACTGCCAGCTTAGCCCCCAAAACACAGTCAGGTGATGCCTTGGGTGCTCAATCTAATGTAAGCAGTAGTTTTCCTTTTGATTTGAATGGGCCTTCCTTGCAGGAGGGATCTGGTTGGGGAATGAGAACAGAGGAAAAGCCTAGTAAAACCACTCGTAAAGCTTGGCACAGGGCTTTCCCAGCCGCAGCACTGGCAGACACCAGTGCGGGAAGGTGACTGAGCCTTGTAGTGCTTCACAGGGTTTTGTCACGGATGGAATGTCCACCCTCCTGGGGAATCTCTGTCTCTGCTCCCAGGGGAAGCTGGGGGGCTGTTCAGACTGAGGAAATGGGTCACTACTTTATCCCAGCTAGAGAAAGAAAGGTTAAAAATGAGGAAAAAACAGCAATAAGCTCAGAAGAAACCAAGTAAACACCAATTAAAACCATAAATGAGATGTCTCAAATTTATTGCTTAAAAAAGCAGTTCTGAAGTTGAGACAGCAATGTGCCCTGGTGGCCAAGAAGGTGAATGGCATCCTGGGGTGCATCAAGAAGAGTGTGGCCAGCAGGTCGAGGGAGGTCATCCTTCTTCCCCTCTACTCTGCCCTGGTGAGGCCACATCTGGAGTACTGTGTCCAGTTCTGGGCTCTGCAGTTCAAGAAGGACAGGGAACTGCTGGAGAGGGTCCAGCAAAGGGCTACAAAGATGATTGGGGGACTGGAACATCTTTCTTATGAGGAAAGGCTGAGGAACTTGGATCTTTATAGTCTAGAGAAAAGAAGATTGAGGGGGATCTTATCAATGCTTCTAAATCCTTAAAGGGAGGGTGCTAGGGGGATGGGAACAGCCTTTTTTCAGTGGTGCCCAGTGATAGGACAAGAGGTAATGGGCACAAACTTGACCATAGGAAGTTCCATCTAAACATGAGGAGGAACTTCTTAACTCTGACGGTGGCAGAGCACTGGCATAGGCTGCCCAGAGAGGTTGTGGAGTCTCCTACTCTGGAGACACTCAAAACCCACCTGGACGCCGTCCTGTGCAACCTGCTGTAGGTGACCCTGCTCTGGCAGGGGGGTTGGACTAGATGATCTTCAGAGGTCCCTTCCAAACCTGACCATTCTGTGATTCTGTGAAGATTTTTAGTCTAAATGTATGAATGATGAGCCTGGTTGGCAGCCTGTGTGAGATATAAATTGCACTTCTTGTAGACAAGACTGACATGAATGTAAAAATAAATCTTTTTACAGGAAGAATAGAAGAGAATTTTTTGCCCCCTAAGTGTACTTTCCTCGTCCTTTCATATATTTGCTTTGCTGATTAAAATACAATTTTAAATTAAAAATCAGTCAAAAGCAGAGAGGTAGCGTCCAAAAAAATGTTCTCTCTGCTACATTTGATGAAAACATGTATTTCTTCCCCTCTTTGTCCATAGCATGGATTTTAAATGTAGCACTACTGGAACTACAAATTCATAGACTTGCGTGAAGCACTGTAGCATTAAACAACTGGAAATCTAATTTCCTGCTGGGAGTGCAGAGATGATTGATAGTAGCCATTCAGTCTGAAACATCTCGGTAAATCTTCAGGCACTCGGAAGGTGTTTTTCTTTTCCCACTGCAATGCTTCTGAGCCTGAATGCAGTGCTTTTTACGTGAGCTTCCCCAGACACCAAGCCCAGTGCTGAATTGCCTGGGTTAGGATGGGCCCTATTTTTGTAGCTTTGAAGCAACCATGAGAATTAATGAGGTGTGTGACACCTTGCTGCCGTTGATAAAGGTGCATGCAGGACAGCAAAAAATAACGTTGCCTACTTTCCTCATAACATTTTTCCATCAGAACACAACCTAGCAGCAGACACGTTAGGTGATCGTGAGTAGGAAAAGAGATGGTCAGTAAATACCGTCATAGGTGTGTTGCCCAGAATGTGCTGCCTCCCCCACTGTCTTCCATGGAGGGTGATCCTGTGATTAAAAGTTTTGAGATATTTGCTCTTAAGAAAAAAAAATGCTGAGCGTTGATAGTCATGCCAGGTGCCGTGCCAGTAGATAGTTGCTTACTGCCCAGTATGCGGTGTGCATTCAAAGAAGCTGCGATGGCAGTGGTGGAGAAGAGGTGTCACAAACAGTTTGGATGTTTTAAATACCATTATGCTTCAGTCTGTACAAATGTGATACTTTTAATTTCAGTGGTTATTCGCATTTCCATTTTTTTCCATTCCATTTTCCTCACACTCAACTAACTTGTAGCACTTAGTTATTATGAAACCTGACCTGAAGATGAATGGCTCATTATAAAAACTTAAACCCTGTGCCCCACTCTACAAATTCCTTTTTATGTTCAAAATACGAACTTTTTAATAATACAGAGATAGCATATGATGTCTAATCTGTAGTGACAGAAATGTTAAATCAACATTTTCAGTCTCTAATTAGAAACACAATGTCACATTATGGGTAGATTTAAAGGCTAAATAGGGAATCATTAAACTAATTTTTAGTCACTTATAAAATCTGAGTCCCTCTCCCAAATAACGCAGGCAGCTTTCTAGATGGTTCTTTATTGTGTTATAAGAGGTATCGTTACAGTCTGGCATTTGTCACCACATGTCTATGAAGATTTGGTATATTACATTTTGTTAAACACCTAAGCAATTAATTAGGACGTACGGGAGACTAATATTTCTCTTTTCCCTGGGTGCTTTGCAGCATTGCTTGCAGCCGGCATCAGTGAAGGGAGCCTTTAGGAGGCTCTCACCCAGCCTTGGTTTACACGTAAGAGGTTGCGACAAAACGAGAACGATTTTGTTCCTCATCCAGCTGACATGTGCCACTGCTTTGAGCATGCGGGCTGTTGAGTACCTGGTCCATGAGGACTGATGCTGCTGACAGTTAAATAGAAGTGCAAAGAGCAGGATGCACTGCTCCAGTAGCTTCCAGAGCCCTTTGGAGTTAGTGATGGACCCAGAACATGCAGCAATGGCTGCAGAGCTCCTGGCTGTTGGTGTGCCCTGGATTTATCCTAGCAAATGCAAATAGTGCACAGCAGCCTGTTTGAGGATTTGTTGATGGCCATCACCGATCACTAAAGTGGTCTCAGGGATTGTAGGCAAGCATGAGAGAAAGTAGGAGAAGTGGCATCTGGGATGACAGGAAAAATTTTCTCACATGTTCTTTTTCACATAGTTTTTTCTTATGGTGGCATTTGTTGACAAAACTCTCTGTGGAGCATCTCCTCCCTCCTTCACCTGCTGGGACATGCATGACAGAGTTCTATCAGAACGATTGTTAGTGATGCTTCAGCACATCTTTCTCAGTATTTTGCAACCCCGTTTTGCAAGGTTTGGTCCAAGGAGTGTTATGTTACATCCTTCCACATAACATCCGTATGTGTACTGGTTGAAGGCGGCAAAAGGTAAATCACAACTGGAGGAGATGTATTTTGTACACAGTGGCCTGATTTTCTGCAGGTACGGAATAAATTGTCAGCGCAGTGAGGATCCCTCAGATCTACGCGGCATCAGGAGTAGAAGTTCGCTTCCTAGGGGACTGGCGCGCTACCCTGAGCTCCTGACCTAGCAGTGCTTTCCGTGCGCTGTGGTCTTTCTCTGTCTTTCTTGATCCCATGTTGCGTGTTAGCTTTCTAGGACAAAACTCACGCTAGAGGGGTGTAGGGGAGCTGAGTACAGTCTGGCTTTGAATTTAGTGGGTCTAAGGGATTTTACTTGCTTTTGCAGCAAATTTGATGCTTATCATTAGTGACAGGAAGTGTAATGCGGTGTGATAATTGCATTTTCTAATA